TTCTGAGAGCTTTAGGACCTGGGGCCCTGGGCTCCACCTGTCCCTCCCTGCAGTGGCCAGGCTGCCGCCCCTCCCCCACCGGCCACCCCCTCTCAGCGGTGATCTTTGATCTTTGATCTGCATCCATTGATCTCAACCCGCCAAGGTCTTCAGGCCTGAATTGAGGAAGCTTTTCTTGGGAACAGATCTGTGGGTGTGGCTGGGAGCAGCCCCCGGCTCCTTTTGGGGGGTCCTGCCCTGAGCTGGAGCTTCCTAGGAGCTTCTGGTGAGATTTCGCTCCTGCTGCCCTGTTCTGGATTTCCAAGGGCCCTTTCCTGCTTGTATCTCCTTGTGGCTGGGCACTTCTCTCTCATGCGCCCCCTTCTGGGACTGACCTTCCTCCCGCTCTGCCCTCCTTCCAGCCCCTTCCTCACGTTTCCTGTCTTGCTCATGTCCCAGCAGGCGGCTCAGCTGCAGTCTCTGTTCAGACCTCTCCCCGGGGCCTCGATTCCTTACTTGAGGTCTCTCCTTTGCCTTTTGAGTTCTCCAGAGAAGGTTCCTCTGGTGGTTTGCCTGGCCACTCTGTGGTCCTCGGCCCCTGCTTCCCCCGCCTATTTCAGCCCCCACCCCAGGCCCCCGGAGGAGTTGAGTTCTTCACTCTCCTGACCAAGCCCCTTGACACCCTTGCCGCCTTCTGTCCCCCACCTCCGCGGGTTTCCGCCCCACCAAACGGAAGCAAGCAAGGCCGGGAATCCCTGTGTGATTAGCGAGTGTTGATGTGAAGGACAGAGGCAGAGCCAGCGTCTGTTCTGCCCTGGACGGCCCCAGACCTGGTGTTCATATCTGGACTTGGTGTGGGAGCCTTGCACACTTGGAGGGCCCCTGCCCCTCTGTCCCCCCGGCCGGACGTGAGGCCAGGGGTCTGCCCGTCCCTGTGCCCAGTTGTCACGTTGGTTTGTCACCGGACTGGGTGGACCGTCTTTGGAGATGTTGATGGTCCTAAAAAGACCATGCACTGGAAGGTGAGTGTTTTGTGGTGGCCTGGGCCTCTGCCCCTGGCTGCCTGTGCCTTGTTCTGGACATGGGGGATGGGATCACTGGTGTGTTGGCCGCTGGTCTGCTGGACGGGGCCTGAGTTCCCTGCTCGCCACTCTTTTACACTCTTTGTAAGAATATGGAAGAATGTGGATGGTCTTGGGGGGGACAGCCTTGTGGGTAAGCGTGTCATAGATTGCCTTCCACCGCTTGGTTTTGTCGTTTCGGGGCTCCGGCAGCTGGAAGGTTTCCCCGTTGGCTGTGGTGGCGGAGGCCCGCCCCCCGCTGCTGTGCGCCTCGGCCCCGCTGTGTGCTCTCACTTGTTTCTGCTTCAGGAGACATTTAGGTTGTGTTTTGCTTTTGTTCTGCTAGTAACAGAACTGCGGCATTAACCCCGCCCTCAGGCGACGTGTTTGAGGTGCCTGAAGGGCTCACAGCACCCCCCTTCCCCCCAGGACCACCACCTCTGCTCCTGCAGCCAACCCCAGCCACAGCCGCGTGGGTTGTCCCTTCTTTCGTTGCTTCCTGTCACTCGCAAAGACTCTAGAAAGGACACATCCACACCGGTTAGGTCTGGAACCCGTTTGCATCTGTGCTGTGGGTGTTTTCAGCCTGGGACAGTCAGTAACAACTGTGGGTGCCTGGGTGGGAGCGCGGTGGCTCTCTGTTTGGCCGCGGTTGAGAATCAGCCAAGGCGCTGGAAACCATTCTGGTGCTTGGGCCGCACCCATGAATCCCTGTGCTCACTGGTGTGCGCAGCGCTGGGCCCCCTGTGGCCAGCTTGTTTGAGCTCTGGGCGTGTGCGTGTGCAGCCAGCATTGAGGGCCTCCCCTGGCCTGCCGGAAGGGTGCTTCCCGTGTGACCCTACGGGAGCGGAGCGGCAGGACACAGGAGCAGCAAGGGCGAGTGAAGTGGCCAGGTGCAGGTTGGTGCTGTGTCTTTGGACGCCATAGGCACCCATGACCAAGGTGTCACTCCCGGGCGCAGGTCCAAAAGAAACACACGGAAAGACGCGCACAGAATGTTCACGGGGGCACAGTGTGAATGTTTGGTAGCAGAATCCTCGTGATTCAGGCATGAGGATTGGAGCCGTGTCCTTCATTTAAAATCTACTTTCTTGTTAAAGGTTTATATACAAAGAGAATATGTGTGTCATTCAAATGGTTGTTTCTGGTTTCTTAGGTCTCTGACGATGACTGGGGGCAGGGATGGCCCCGGCTTCTCAGTGGGAGCGAGACTGGACTTTGTTAAGGAGGAGAGTGAGGGTGGCACCACAGCTCCTCCCAGGATGTTGGGAGATCCTCAGAGGGAAGCCCGGGCCG